CAAATATACAATACAGTATTATTAACTATAGTTACCATGCTACAAATCACATTCCCATGACTTAATTATTTCATAACTGGAAGTTTGTACCTTCCTCTAAAAATGATTTCCTTCTTTTTATGGCTAAATAATATTCCATAAATATTATTTACGGCTAAATAATACACCACATTTTATTTATTCATTCACCAATGGATAGTTAGGTTACTTCCATATTTTGGCTATTGTAAATAATGCTTCAGTGAACACAGGGGTACAGGTATGTTTTTGAGTTAGTACTTTCATTTCCTTTGGATAAATACCCAGAAGTGGAATTGCTGAATTATATGGTAGCTCTATTTTTAATTTTTTGAGGAAACGCCATACTGTTTTTCATAGTGGTTGTACCAATTTACATTCCTACCAAAAGTGCAAAAGGGCTCCCTTTTCTGACATCCTCACCAATACTTGTTATTTCTTGACTTTTTGATAATCGCCAGTCTAACAGGTGTGAGGTGATGTCTCATTGTGGTTATGATTTGCTCAAATATAAATGTTAACTGTGATTTTTAAAACTAAATGAAACATTATAATTAAAAAACTAGTTATTTGGACACATCACTTAAGCAGTATTCCAAAAATGTACAGTAGTATTCCCTTATCTATGGTTTTACTTTCCCTGGTTTCAGTTACCCAAGGTCAACCACACCCAGAAATAATATTAAGTGTAAAATTCCAGAAATAAACAATTCTTAAGTTTTATATTGCATACTGTTCTGAGCAGCGTGATGAAATCTCACCCTGTCCTGCTCTATCCCTTTGTCCAGTGTCTCCACGCTGTGTATATGCTACTTGCCATTAGTCACTTAGTAGCCATATCAGTTATCAGATTGACTGCCATGGTCTCACAATGCTTTTGTGTTCAGTAACCCTTATTTTACTTAATAACGGCCTCAAGGCACAAGAGTAGTTTAGACTTTATCATAGATATGTATGTATAGGAAAAAACATAGTATATATAATATATGGTTCAGTATTGCCTGTTGATTTCAAGCATCCACTGGGGATCATGGAACGTATCCTCCGCAGATACGCAGATAAGAGGGGACTACTGTAATCTGAATCTTAGCGTAAGAAAACATCAAAATACCTATTGATGAAAATTCTATGAAATGACTGAGATGTATTTTTTTTTTTAATGCCTGTGATAAAAGAGAAAGAGGTTGAGGAACATTCCAGGTTAAAGAAGACTAAAGAGGTATGACAACTAATTGCAATATGCCATTTTGAACTGGATATTCTGGTATGAAAAAAGAACTGCACAAAGGACAATTACTGAAACAGAAATATGCATTGCAGATAAAAGAATTGCATCACTGTTACATTTCCTGTTCTATGATTACACAAGAAAACGTTCTGATTTTGAGGAAATACACACTGAAGTATTAAAGAGTAAAGGAGCCTAATGTATGCAATCTTCTCTCAAATGGTTCAGAAAGAAAAATAAAATGTGACTGCAAATAAGGCAAATATTAAAAGTTGGTGAATTTAGATGGGCACATGGTAGTTTTTTGCTCTATTCTTGAATTTTCTNAAAAAAAAAAAGAAAGAAAATTTACAATTATATCTGTAGCTGGTATTCCATTTCTGTTGGCCAGCACTGCTCTAGATAGGTGACTCCACCCACACACACAGCTGTAACTGCCATCCGTGGGAGGATGCCTCACAAGCCTATAGCTTCAGCCTAGGCCTATTCTCAGGCTCCAGGCCCAAAACTACAGCTTCCCTATATGACATCTCCTCTCAGAAGACTCAAAGACACCTCATCCTCAACATGTCCACAATGGAATTCCTATTCTTCAGCAAACAGGTTCCTATTCTAGTGTTACTTTAGGGAAGGACACCCCATCGATGTGGACAGCTAGCAACCTAGGAATCATCCTTGAGATGTCCCCTCTCCTCTCCCCTTTACCCCACACTTCCAATCTATCGCCAAGTCCTTCAAGTTTGTTTTCTAAATACCTCTTAAATCCATTCTTTTTTCTTCCACCACTTCTGCCACCATCCTAGAGACTACGCCACCTTCACATCTCACCTGGACTATTTCAGTGGTCTTCTAACCTCCCTCATCTACTCTTGCTTTCCCTCAATTCATTCTCCATTCTGCTACTTAAGTGACGGTTCCAAATATCCTTCTAAGCTTCCATTCCATTAAGGCCGTTTATTTTAGCCCCTTTCTAACTCTGTTTACATCACATGCTCTCTGACTCTGCTCCAGCCTCACAGGCATTTGTTCCATCCCTTCTAGTTCCCTATGCCCTAGAACGTTTAAACTTGCTGCATCCGCTCCTTGTAGGGTGTTCCCTCTTATCTCCAGTCTAGGTAACTCCTACTCATTCCCAGAGCTTCCTTCTCACATTTCTTCCACCTACTATGTCTTCTCACATCATGTTGCACTTTTACATAAAGTCAAAAACCAGGTCCATTTTTGTTCATCATAATACAATGACTAGCGTAGAGCTGGCATAAATAAAAATAAGTTTCTGTATGTTTTTAAGTTGAAGAAGGCTTTTCAGATAAACAGATGGTCAAAGAAAAAAGTTAAAGAAACAAAAAAGGTGAGATTATGGAAAATCTGAGTAATTTAAGTAGCATGGCAACTATTTGAGTTTAAAGTAATCGGGTGGTAAATTCTAGTGCCCAGTCTGGAAAACATCAACTAACTGAAGGGTAAGAGTTAACCCATAGTGTATTTTGCTTGAACCAATTACTTCAAATGCAGGCCGTAAGTCTCTAAATCTTGTTTACTTACTTGCTTCCTGGCTGCTTGTTTATCTGCATGCTTTCTAGGCTGCTTTCTGAGCAGAAGAAAGCTGATAGCTCTTCCTGGTTCCAACTTCTTTAGATATAAAACTTCCTAGTTCTTTTCCCTACTTCCCTTATTTCCTAAATATGCCTCATATTTATCCTCAACCTCTATAATGCTGTCATCTTTTTAAGAGCTATGCTTCTGGGGGTTTGTGGTTTGTTTGGTTTTATTTTGTTTAGTCATTTCACACAGTTCTATATTATGTACTAGTAAAACTTATACTTTAATACATGAAAAAAAAAGAAAAAGCATAATAACTCCTTCAGGAAAGTTTACGTATCTACACAGCATCCAAATGATTTACTTTCCTCTTTGGTGGTTAAGAACTAGGATTCACTATGCATCAGTAATAATAATGATGATAACGATAGTTAACATTTATTGAGGACTTGGTATGTCTCAGGCACTTTCCTGAGCCCTGTGTGTGAATAAATTTAACTCTCATAACAACACTATTAAGTACATACTATTATTACCTCCATCTTGTAAGAAAATTGAGGCACAGAGAGATTAAGTAAATTGCCATGAACACAGCTACAAATTGACAGGGCTATTTCTGGATACATTTATATATATTTTTTTTAAAATATATATTTATATACCATATAAAGTATATGAAGATTAGTAAGAATTGTTCCCTACCCTCAAGTTGCTTATAGTCTAAAAAGAGGTACAGGAACATGAATAAGAATAATACAAAGCAGAATTTAAGTGACTTAGGAAAGAAAAATTCCATATGGAGTTTAAAGGAGGGAGATGATATCTATAGGGGGTGAAAAATTATGCATTTAAAAATTATTTACTGAGAACCTATTGAGCCTGGAGATAATGATATAACATGAATATGTTGTAGACCCCATTTCTCTGGGGTAAAGGAAGTACTGGATTTGAGGTAGGCCTTGAATGATAAGATTTTAAAATGTAGAGATGGGGAGAGTAAGAAANGAGCCATATGCGGCTCTTTGGGTACGTTCCATCTCAAAAGTTTGCCAACCCCCGGAAGAGCCAATCTTGTCCCTCACAATTTAAAAATTCGAGAGCCATAAATATATTTTTACATCATCATCATTATGTGAATAATATCCCTTAAAAATTTTATAAATGAAGCCATGATAGTTTTATTTTCATTTTCAATTTTACTGGAGAGCCTGCGGCTCACAAGCCGCAGTTTGCTGACCCCTGGCGGCTCTTCTGTCTCAAATTTTGCCGACCCCTGTACTAGAATGAATCCAAATTCCTCTCCCTCATCTACAAAGCCCTATCCATCGGGACTCCCCACCCTCATCTGCACCAGCCACTTAGGCCTTTCCCATCTTCTAAGATGCCAAACGGCGCCCAAAGCTTGTTCCCGAGGGCCTAGCATTCTCCAGAATACTCTACCAAAGAATCCTTTTTGCTGCCTTTTTTTCCCCATTTAGTTCTCAGCTCACTGTCACCTCCCAGCTTTTCAGAGGCCTTTCCAGATCACTGTAGCTAAAGAAGCACCCCTTCCCATGAAATGTTTACCATATCACTCTTGTTCCGTTCTAAATAGCACTCATATACTGAAATCATCTTGCTTATTTGTGTACTTGTTCTATGAGAGCAGGACCTGGTTTATCTTGTTCATCACTGTATCCTCTATGCTTAGAAAAGTGAGAACAGTGTCTGACTCACAGCAGACATTTACTAAATATTAAATAGTGAGTGAATTATATATTGCTGTTACATTCAAAAGTCCTTCCCCTCTCCCCGGCAGCTGATCTCAAATGAAAAGTTGTTTACCATACATATATAAATGTTACAGAATATTAGAGTTGACCTCCTCCTAAACTTCCCAAAGCAAATTAACAGGCAAGCCAACATACAGAGCTATTATTCTCTGTATCAGATTTTATAACTGATCTTGATTTTTGCACTCGAAAGGGACTCCATTTCAATTCTGGATTTCTTAAAATGACTAATATAAATTAACAATGGTTTTATGAAGTACATATTCTTTTTCAACAGTGCTTACAGGTTTACAAATAAACCATAATCCTCTGATGAGAAAATGTAGCCAGTAAGATTTTAATGTTTTCTATCTGTGCAATGTTATCAAAGATTCTTCTCTGGCTTCAAATAAGGCAATACCTTTGAAGTATCAACAATCAATTCTTACAAGAAAACAAAACAGTAACTGGAAGCTTTTATTACTGAAACAAGTTAATTTATTATATTTCCAACAAGGCCTTTTTCCCCTATAAATGAGACAAACTACTTTACAATATTTTACAACAATATAACTTAGTTTTTTAATATTTTCAAAAAGGAAAGATTTCTTTGGGAATTTAGGAAAGTATGTATTTGGCAAAGAATAACTATAGCAAATTACTTTTTCATTTTTAATATAACAAGCTTGTCTACCAGGTATACTACCCAGCATTTTTCCTTAAAATGGAAAGAATCCATTAAGTAAGAGGAACAAAAAACCTACCTTTAGAAACTGAGGCGGGAAAGGTTTATATTTAAATAGGAAACAAGCAATCTAAAATACCAATCACATGTCACTTGAACAAGGCAATTTACATAATTAGGTGTAAATTATTAATTATCTTTATGTTGATTAAGGTCCTAGTAAAGGCTTAATTGATCTTTAATTGATCTGACTGTAGCTTAAGTTCAAACTGCACTCATCTGGTTATAAAAGTAAATATTACGATGGAATTGGGCCTGTTTGAGTAAGGGAAACAAATCTTCAATATTGCACCTTTTCTTTCATTAAAAACAGTGATTATTAAGCCATGGCCATCTTGGTTCTGAATCTCTCCATTTTTGATGGAAGAAGACTCACCATCTCTTTACTAAGTTCTAGCTCAACTTCTATTTCCTGCGCAGCCTCAGGGTGCTTGTCACAGTAATCAACGATAAATTTGTAATGTTCCAATGATGTTGCCAAATTTTCTAGCTCTTTCTTGGGATCTGAAGTGATGATTTTGCCATAGAGACGGGCAACTCGAAACTTAGCTAACATGGCAGGACGCAGGACATCTTCCCCTATTACCTCAGGAAATACCTTATTGGGGTCTCTTAGGGAGTCTAGGAAGAGCTGATAGTACTTCAGTGCTGATTTATTAAGATTATTTATTTTTTTTACGATGTGTGAATCAGGATCCCTCAACTTGTCAGCAATGGCAACCTTCAAATCCATCATGTCATAGTACGCATGTGCAATTTCAAACTGAATCTGTCTGTTGACCAACAGATAATACTGTGGATTCAGGTCCACAATGAGGGGCTCTAGCATGGCTATTCTACGTTTATGCATCTTGCACCGTCTCTCCATGTCAGTCTCAAAGAATGCAAGCACCTTGAACAGAGCACTGTGGTCCTGGACAACTTCAATATGGTCAGTGACATAACCATCAATCTGAAAGAATTCTTTTGCCTCAAAGACATAGTGCTGACCCAACAAGAAAAGTTCTCTGGCTTCTTCAAAATCTAAAGGTCTCAAATAGCTCACTTTCTCTTCTACTGCAGAGATGGCATCACAGAGTTCACCGGTTCCAAACTGCACAGCTTTTTTCCTAACGCTTTCTTCCTCATCTAGTTCTTTTTTCCTTAAAGCTCTAAGTTCAGATTGTTTATCAAGATCAAGTTCCCCTATGTTGTCCTGAAAAAAAAAAAAAGAAATTATGGTTAAGTTGGTCACTATCGCCTGATGTCAAATAATATTAAAACAAACTGAAGAGTAAACAAAAACAAACACAAAAACACTGTTACTTCCCAGCCTGGTTTAGGGTGGTATTATAATCTTCAACATCTTCTAAAACGTCATTCTTCTAATTATATTCCAATTATATTAAAAATATAAAAAATTAGGAAGTATTTAAATAGATAAATCACTTACATATTTTACTCCTCTTTGGGGAACTAAAACACATTTATTATTTATAAAACACATATCTTATCTTTCAGATAAGATAAATACATATGAAAGAACCTTAAGAACTGTGAAACATTATATACACGTAATACATTATTAGTATTTTAACATTAGAGTAAAACTATAATGTAAATCCTAAAACTGTTTCACAGACACACCATTAAGATTAACGATATGATATTTATGCTGTAATTTATGTAGTGAAACGTATTACAGAGAAATGCTCTAGGTCTTTTAAAGACACTAAAGTGAAGTAAAAGTTAAATCTACCTTCCTAATTAAAGTTATTTCCCCTCCCTCCTGGGGAAAAAAACAAAACAAAGGGGGTGGGGGCTAAAATGATTAAAAGAGAGTAAGATCATTCTCCTCTTCTGGGCTAACAAAATGAATCATCAGATTCCTCGATACTTAGCCCCAAGGCCTTTTCTTTTTTTTTCTCTTGATGTCGTCTCTCTAGACCTACACTGTTCCAAACAGGAGCCATGTGAGGATGGTGACTGAGCACTTGAAATGTGGTGAGTCCAAACCGAGATGTGAACTGTGTGAAATACCACACATACAACTTCCAAGAAATTTTTGTACGAATAAATTTCCAACTGGAAGTTTTAAAATATCTCTTAATTTTTTAATGTTGATGACATATAGAAATGACAGGTTTTTTTAATGTTCTGGGTTAAAATATATAATTAAAATTAATTTCACCTGCTTTTTTTCCGTTTCTAATGTGGCCATTAGAAAATTTACAATTAGGGCTGGCTGAGCGGCGCGATGGCTAGGAGCTGGCTTGGGATGCCAGAGGACCCCGGTTCGGATCCCACATATGACGGCCAGTGACACTGCCTTCTACAGCTAAGCTGCTGAACAACAGCTCAACCTGGAGCTGGGCTGCTGTGAGTCACTGGTGACAGCGTAGGCTACAGCCCCTGCTGCAGTGGGTTGCCATGGGCTACCNGTGAGTCGCCAGCAATGATGTGGGCTGGCCGGCAGCTGGTGTGCGCTTCCGCGAGCTGCTATGAGCCACCGTGAGCAGCCATCCAATGGCCACTGAGCAACTGCCTCACCTGGGAAGAGCGCAATGATAATACCAACATGGGCCTGTGAAGCGACGTCCTCCACAACTAGACTGAAGAATAAAAGGACAGCAACTTGTCTGCCCCCCTTCCCCAATTCTTCAACGCTGTCCCCCTCCAATTCCCCAATAAAATTAAAAAAAGAAAAAAAGACATTTGTACAAACATAAAACATGCTGCCTTTTTGAGAAAATAATTCTTTTTCATGAAAGATTGTTTAAATCCAATGGGTTTATTATTGTCATTTTAACATAAATTGTTAAAATTTTCTTAATTTAAATTTCAAATAGGGTAAATAGATATAACCCATATGAACAAAAGCGCTTTGGCATCCTCAGTTTTAAGTGCAAAGGGGCTTAGAGACCAAAAAGTTCGAGAACTACTAAAATACCCAGAGAAGCAATGAAGTCTCAGTGGGCAGCTGTCTTTGGGAAGCCGTGCTCAGGGAAAGCAGTTTGTGCAACAGGTTATGTGAATAGAATATAGGATTGCAAAGCAGCCGCCAGTGAGATTTTCTGCTGATAACTAAAGACAAAGTCTTGAAACAAAAAGTCACTGCAGACGGCAAATGACAAATTAGCAGAGTATGTTGATGGCTATCAGGATAAAAACCAGCTTTAAGAGCAGTGCCTGTGATACTTGAATTTTATCTTTTGAATCAAGTTGAATACAGTTGGAAAGAAGAAAAACTCTCAAGATTTTAGAGGCTGTGACCCATAGATAATATTCTCAAAGCTTAGCACAGTTAAAATACACAGAAAAGAGCCCAGTATTTGTTAAACAAATGAGTAAATCACTATAAATGAAGTCATGAAGTTAATTAGGTTGGTAGCAAAATGGCTATATCAGGAAAGGCTTATAATGGGGATTTATTCTAGAATCAGTTCTCCAGAGTTGAAGAAATGAGGGTAGCTGAGATGCAGAGTTGTACCACTATCCCCAAGAAACCACCTTATCTTTGCCTCCTCTTGATCTTTTCAGTCTTTAGTTTCTTAGAATTAGTTTAGACTACTCCACCATCTTGACCGGGAACTCCTCTTCACTTTCCTTTTAAAGCCTGATTAAGGGATGTTATTACCAATCATTTCATCTCAAGCATCTCAACTCAATATGATCTAAATAGAACTCTTAATTTTTAACCCCATAAAAACATGCTTCTTCTGCGTGTTTCAACTTAATATGGCCCTTGATTCTTTTCCTCATGCTTTACATTTAATCCTTTGGCATGTCCTGTGATTCTACTTCCAAAGCACTAACTGAATCCACCTCTCTCCATCCCTTTTCTATCACCCTAGTCCAAACCACTTGGATTAATCATAATAGAACCTAGCTTGTCTCCTTGCTTCCCCTCTGGTGCCTCCTTCTTCCCCTACAATCTATTCTTCCCCTAGGAGCCAGAGTGGTTTCCTAAAATTGCCNTTCAATTTCTTCTCTTTCAGACCACAAGATACCCAGGTTATTCTGGAAAATAAAGAGAAATAAATAATGACAATATAAATCTTCCAAGTAAAGTAACTCATAGTTTCAAAGCCAATGTTTACCTGTCAAATAATACTAGAGTCTCATGAACAATGAATTAATTATTCATAATATTGTCCTTATGTCGTGGTAGATAGCTGCTAAAATGGATCCCTAATGATCCCTGCCTCCTGGCATTCATGCCCTTGTACAATCTCTTCCCCTTACATGAGCTGAATTTAGTGACTTGCTTCTAACAAAAAGATGACAAAAGTGACAAAAGGTCTTTTCCAAGGTTAGGTTACAGAACACGGTGGGGTTCCATTTTGGGTGCTCCCTCTTGCTTGTTTTCTCTGAGGGAAGCCAAATGCCACGATGCAACGCACCTAAGGCATAGACTCATATGGCAAGAAACTGAGGGAGGTCGGCAGCCAGCAAAGAACTGAGGCCCTCAGATCAAACAGCCTGTGAGGAACTGAATCCTGCAGACAACCACATGAGTGGGCTTGGAAGTGGATCCTCCCCAAGCTGAGCCTTCAAGTGCAGCCCCCACAGGCCAGACAATCTGATGAGAGACCTTGAGCCAGAGGCAACCAGCTAAGCTTTGCCTACATTCCTGATATGATAAACGTTTTTTTTGTCCAAGATACTAAATTTAGAGGTAAAATTTTACATAGCAATAGATAACTAATATAGAGAGAGACAAAGATAAGCCAGAAACATATAATGCTTTCAAAATATCTACAATCTCCTCCAGAGATCTCTTAAAAAAGAAAACATTCTCAGCAGTTCTGGTTCAAGCCTGAATACAGGGAGATGAGCTCTCAAATTCAAACTATATGACATGAAAATTCTGAAGATGTTATATNGTTTTTAAACAGCTAATATATAATAAAACATGCACACATAAACTTACTGTCATCTGTGGTTGGGATCTTTCCAGTTTGACCAAAAATGACATTAGCAGCTGATAAACAGTGCCTGGCCTCCATAAAGCATAGCTGTTAAGGAAATAACATGACTAAATGCAATTATTCTACAGCCTTATTTGCAACTGATACACGCATAAAGTCTTTAAATGTGGGAAAAGCTATAAAATCAGGTAAAAACCACCAAGGAGACCCTGTATAGTTGTTGAACATTAAGAAGGTATATAAGACATAATATAGTATTATCTAGTTAAAAATCTACCTCAAAGAAGTATAATGCCCCAAACTCTTAATAATTCAAACTGGCTGAATGAGAGCTGCTGACTAAAAGTTAACTCTGCTCAGGTCATCAGTAAGTATACAACAGTAACTATCATCATAGACTCAAAGTGCCTCAGACAGTTTTTAGGTTCAGTCCAAACAGGCAAAGTTCTACGCATGATAAATTCTTAGACCATTTACATTCATTTACATTCTATCGGAGGACTGAAAGGTTTAATTATTTTTAGGTTTAGAGATCCCTTTTATATCCTAGCATTCAAAGGCAAAAAGAGTAAATTTTGATAAGAAGAGATTCCTGTCTTCTAAAATCTTTGGAATTCATAATAAAGCTTCCCACCAAGTTTTGAAGGCAACAGATTTCCCCAGATAAATTTCATGGGATTGCTTTACCAACACACTCAAAAACTTCATAATTCAAATCTGGGCATGGTGAACTTCGCAAACACTTGAAGAAGATCTCTTTGTTAATATAAACATTTTGCATATGTCATGTAAGTCACAGGACCACCCAGCAGTACAAAGTTCAAGTCCAGCTTTCAGTTGGACGCCACCCTCATTAAACATAATGTCTATTTTTTATTAGTAATACCTGATTTTGCTAAGATTTTTAATGGTTGATTATGACTTCAAAATCTCAGCATTAAATGTAGCTCTCCATTATGGCAAATTCAGAAGCCATTGAGAATAGCTATTAGCCCAGCAATATCTATAGATCATGTGTAGTATTAGCCCAGCAGTATCTATAGATCAAAATGTTAGTGTTAAATCTCAAAAACTAGAAGTTACAGTTTATATAAAGCATCTTTGTCCCTCTACAATCCCTTACCCATCATTATCACTTCAGCTTTTTTTAGATTGGCTCCGTGTAAGCAGCCACTACTAGAACAGTGAGTGCCTTGTGCCCTCTAGGTGGCTGGTAAATGTGGGACTTCAGCACCTGCCAGGTGGGAACTCTCCAAGTAACAAAACCTCATCAGTGGAATCACATGAAGATGAGGGTGATGTAAATGACAATTACTTTTTAAAAAACATGGTTCAAATTTCTCTTTTTACAATACAACTTAGTTGTAACAAAAACATAAAAAACATCTTGGTAAAAAAAATAAAAGGATAGGGAAGGGGAGGTACTCATGAAAATTACTGCATGCTCCACATAGGCAATACTTAACAACTTTAAACTTTTAATTACACTTTAAATAAATGTCTAGATATCTTAGTATTATTAATATCCATGTTGTTTTAAGTGTTAATTCAAATCACAGTGAATATGTAATTGTATAGCTGCTAAACAAAGTAAGGGGCCTCCAGATGCTATTAAAAAGGTGCCACAAACAGAGGCACCAAGTAACACTTTTTCATGATGACCACAATGAAATGGATTCATGAAAGTCAGATTTAGCTGAATGCTGATATATGCAGCAGCATTACTTACACGCTTGATCTTAGACCAAAGTCCTAGAAGCGATACTGCAGTCACTACAGCCTTTTCTCTCCTGCTAATAGCTTTTCTGAATGAAACTCTGTGGGATAATACTTTAAACATAGGGTGCATTTATAGAACCAGCACTAACAAAAATCTTAGCTAGGATAAAGGCCTAGTAAGGATACAGCAGCAGTTAACCAGAGAGATCTAAGAAGGAACTCTGATAAGCAAAGAATTACCAAAGTTTTAGAGAGGCTTGTGAATCAAATACAAATAAAAGTAATTTCTACTGCTGAGATATCTTATTGAGGATTAACAGAAAATCTAGCTGGGAAAAGTGGCTTAAAAGTGTTTTAGCATTAAAAACGCTTAAGGACTAAAGTATTAAATAAATCGATTAAGAATACATCAGCATGATTCTGAATAATTCTGATAAACAACTGAAAAGCTCAAATTTGTCCCTGTATAATACTCCAGAAGAAGTATTATCATAAAGACCTGGAACTCTGGAACTGAGCAGAGATACTTCCAACATAGGAAAATTATTATAGAGGAGTTAATTCTAAAGAATAACTGAAATGCATCACATGATTTTATCAAAGCCCACATTTAACAGTCAACTTCCTCAGACAAATTCTCATAGTTACCAGATTACCACTGCCTAAAGATAAAGTTTTATCTACAAAATAAAATCTGCAATTTAAGGTATATGTCACTAAAATGAATTGAGGGAGCGTGCTTCTATCAAAAAAGAATTGGTCTTAGGTAACACGTAATTTTAGGGGCTACCAACATGTAAGGCAATGATAAAACTCAGTATTTTAAGATTCAAAGGATTAATGGAAGAAAAGCTACAAAATTTTAGTGCACTGGTAAACTGCTTTGCATTTTTCTGTCTAGTTTACATCATACAACGCAAGCTGCCTATTTTTAAAAGATAACATTTTCAAGGTACTCTTGGTTTTGCTTTTAGACACATTTATTAGAAAATTTGTTCGCTAAACTACTTTGAAAAGCTTACCTTATTGATGTAAAATTGTGACAAAGTAGCAGCATTAATAGCCCACTCTATAGGATGGTAGGCATTGTGCTCAAGCTGGCGTTTTAGGGTACTGTGGCAGTAATGAGCGGCCTTCTCAAACATTTCCAAATGCTGGTAGACTTGAGCCAGGTAATACAGATTATGAGTATAAACCTTCTCAAATCTATGAAGAAAAACAACAGTATTTGCATAATGGTTTACAATTTATAAGGAACTTTCATATATATTTATCTTGATCCTCCCACCAACCCTTTGAATTAGGTATGGCTAATATATCTATTTGACAGATATGGAAACTGAGCCTCAGATTTGAACAGGGTCAAATGAAAGTTTGAATCCACATCAGAATCCATAGTCTATAACCTTTATGAATACCTTGTACAATCATCTACACTATGTGGAACTACCTGTGAGGGCTCATTTCTATACCTACTCACCTTTTGGATCTCTCTTGTTCAGTAAGTTTCTCTTCTTCAGGAAGAAAATGCTCGGTAGGATCAAGAGGAGGACTCCCAATCTACAATTTAAGAAAAACAAAACTAAAATTTTACTGTAAACACCAAGCGCCCTCTTCTGGAAGAACTGGGGAAATGAAATTTTAAAAGCCCAATACACTTCGTATTTTACTAGTTCACTTTCATGTTACCCACGAAGTTATTTTCTTAACCATAAAATCTGAGAATTAAACAAATAAAAGAAGAATGCCTACAAACTCACACTGGACAAAATTTTTACTGCTCTTGCAGGTGAACTTCAAATACACTTAAAAAAAACAAACAAACACAAA